TGTAACAAATCAGTTTCCCTCCTGCTTATAAGCTCCTTTCAAGTACTTGGAGAATGCAGTGAGGTCTCTCCAGAGCCTCCTCCAGCCTGAATAAGTTCAGCTCCCTCAGCCTGTCTTCTTAGGAGCGGTTCTCCAGCCCTCTGAGCAACTTTGTGGCCCTCCTCTGGTCCTGCTCCCACAACCCTACGTCTTTCCTGTACTCAGGGCCTCAGGCTTGGATGCAGTACTGCAGGTGGGTCCTCACAAGGATGGAGCAGAGGGGGACAGTCCCCTCCCTCCCCTTGCTGCCACCCTCCGTTGATGCAGCCCAGGACGCTGTTGGCCTTCTGATTCTCAAGTTCAGGTTCACACTGCTGTTCATATCCAACTTTTCATTGACCAGGACCTTCAAGTCCTTCTCTGTAGGACTCTTTTCAGTGAGTTCTTTTCCCAGTCTGTATGCATTGCCCCAACCCAAGTACAACACCTTGCAATTGGCCTTGTTGAACATTATTAGGTTCACATGGGCCCACTTCTCAAGTCTGTGGCATCCCTTCCTTCTGTTGTGTCAACTGCACTGCTCAGCTTGGTGTCATCAGCAAACTTGCTGAGGATGCACTCAGTCCTATCGTCTGTCAGTGATAAGGAAGTTAAAGAGTGCCAGTCCCAAGACGGACTGCTGAGGGACTTGTGCCCTGACACCTGGACAAAGAGCTGTTGACCACGACCCTGACATTCCTGGCACAGATCCTGATGTTCAGTTAGACTTGAACTGATGTATGTATGTCTCTAAGTGGCTGAAGGCATGTTAGATTTGCAGTGCTTAGTGAGTCTGAGCCTGTTCGTTATTACATGCTGCAGCAACACATGGCTTGCTAGGTCTGTCTCCAGATTCAAAGACTGGTTTTTGAATGTTACAGGACAGAGGACAATGATAAGGCTTTTCCTTCTATACAAATGTTGTCAGAAGTATGTGGCTTGCTTTCTGCAATAGCAGCCTTTGCCCTGTGTGACTCAAGTGAGTATTTAAGAACAAAAAGGTTGGTAGGAAACTGGGTTTCCGTTCCTAAACCAAATTCAAAGTATGTTTTCAGTTTAGATGTCAACTCTTTCCACTCCCTCAAAACAACTACCCGTAGGATGGCAATCATAGAATGGCTTGGGTTGGAACGGCCCGTAAAGATCATCTAGTTCTAACTCCCTGCTGTGGGCAGGGTTGCCAGCCATCTAACATGGCCTTTAGCAGCTGCAGGGAGGGGACATCCACAGCTTCTCTGGGCAAGCTGTTCCAATGTCTCATGCCATGCATGGCAGTATTGTGCAAGTTACCTTCCACAGTCTTTCTCCTGGCTGCGGAGAAACCAGTTTTAAGAACAACAAAGTGTTGTTTATGAGGTCTTCCTCTTCTATTTTCCTGCTTTAAGACTGAAAGATGCTAACTGGTACTCATCATATTTTTGTGCTAACAGCAAAGATGTGCTTGCTGAGCAGCACCTCTTACCAATTCAAGTAGTAGTACCTTTTCTGATTATTTGTGTGTGTGTGTTTGTGTGTGTGTGTGAAAGTTACTTTACTCACAAATTCTCTTTAGTTTTATAGTGGAAGACTGTGTTGAAGGATGTTGAAGGAGTTTTAAAGTAGTCTCTTGTTCTGGGACTATCCCAACGATGACAAATCCACTGATGGGCAGATACACCACTTCCAAATTAAAGGTCATGGCAAAAAGCTAACTTGCTTGTCTTCAGTTCAAGCAGCCAGCTGCTCAGTTGTTCTTGGATATTACAGCACCAGGTTGACTTTTTGATGTATTTAATTAGCTTTTCATAGCACTTCCATGAAGTCTGATGTAGTATTCTAGAAATAAAAGCCGGGCAGGTCATTCTGTAAGAACAAAAGACCCATTACTGTAAAACTTAGTGATTTCTTCTAGACAGCTCAAGAGCATTCTGTTCTGTAAGTTCCTGTATGCTGTATCCAGCTTTAAAAGATCCACAGGCCTTCTCTGTTTCAGGAGTGGGGTGGTTATCCTGTGGCCCAATCGACTCATAGCAAATGAGTTGCAACTGGAATAGTCTTGTGAACCTCATAGGAAGAATGTGATCAGCATTTATTATTTCTAGGAGGAAAAAATGTCTTTGTTGTGAGTACAGTGCATTGGGCAGATCATACAGTGTGAGAAGTGTGAGAAGTAGCTTTTGCATTGCATGGAATTGCTAAGGGGTTCTGAATTTGGTATGTGCCTGAACTGAAGTTACTGTGTTAGTAGTTAGAAGAGTGACTTATGCAGCCTGTGGAGGTTCTGACATACTTGAGAAAAAAATCAAGTTCTAGCATTCAAGCCCTGTTTTTGAAAAATGTGGGAGCAAGCTGTTGTATCATTTGGAGCTCTAGAATTACATTTCTGGGACCTTCATTGAGTCAAATAAGAAGTGGGTTTCTGCTTTCTGTGCTGCTCCTGGAATAAACCCGCTTGGGTTTATTTAAATGTGAAACAACAACAAAGGAAGGAGCATTAGTGGGAGCTGAGTGTCAGATGCTTGACGCTTTCTTGTATTAAGACTTGTTGCACAGCTAAAGCAGGCACGGGAGCTTCTCTCCCTTTTTGATTTCTGCTCTGTCAGCTCTTAAGAAGAGGTCACTGGCCACCAATTTGGGTGGTGCTTTCAAGTAGAGTCTCCCTTAATTGTTCATGTGCAATTACTTTTACCACGACTCAGAAGCTGCCTGACTTGGAGATGCCTTTTGTTTCTTTAGCTTTCCATGAAGTTGTTCACTCAGCTGGGGAAGTTTTTTGCACTAGTGTTAGAGATTAACATTATTTTTACTACTTGCCTCCTCCCTCTCTCTGTGTGAATTGATGAGCTCTTTTTTTTGAATGTAGAGTAGGATGGGTACTACTCAAGTCCTTTTCTGTCTTTTTTTGTGGCATTTACTGTGCTGCTTGCTAGTAGATGGCATTACAGATTTCATAGTGGTTCTTCTCAGTTGTTAAATGTTAATTCAAAGGACAGACACTGTGTGCTTTAGCAAAGAGATGTGAAGTGCTGCATGTGAATATGTGATGACCAAGTTGAAATTACTTCTATGTGGAGAAGATTGAAGTGAGGGCAAAAGACTGCTGTGGAGATTCAAGAGGAAAACAGGTTAGTTGTTTAGGGAGGAGATGAAATCATTAGAAAGTGGGTTTTGAAGACAACATGAGTAACTCTAACGCAAGGAAACTTTAAAGCAAAACAAATGCTGAAATACTGAATTTGATGGTACGAATACTTCACAGAAAATGATCTGCATATGAACATAAGGATATAGATTTCTACTGACTTAAGTAGAAATATTTGATGAAAATATATGCTGCTTATTACAAAATGAAAATACGGGAGAGCAGGCAGGAGACATGCTGTGTGGTAGTGCAGTACAGATCAGGTTTAGTAGGATGCACTTGTACATCTAGCAGTGGGTCAGGATTGTGCTAACGTTACATGTGTGCTAAACGAAGGCTTTATTTAACTTATAGTTTCAAGTACTGCGTAGTCCAGAGTACCCAGGCTGAGAGCAAGGAGAAAAAAGATGGAGGAAAAAAGAATAAAGGTAGATGAAAGGTTTCGGTTTAGTCTTCTGCTGCAATGACTGCAGAACACAGCCAGAAGTTGGGAGAACAGTAAGATGTGTGTAGCCCTCCTGAGTACATGGGATAGCATTCAAGAGGGCATTAAGGAACATACTGATTTCTGAGATAACATTGTGGCTGGTTGCAAGTAGGGGTCGGTCTGTCTGTGCTGAATGAGGAGGTGCTAGCTCGAGAAGGGCCACTGAAGGCCAGGTTCCTGCACAGTGGAGCAAAGAGAACAGGGTAGAGATGGGTCAGTGAAGGTGTCTTTGTTCCAGGTGCTGAACAAATGTGAGCAGGATGGTCATGTTTTCTTCTCTATTAGGGCATATGGTGGAGGGTAGAATGACACAGTGGTGTCTTTTCTGCGTAACATCTACTTCCAGGCAGAAGAAAGCAGAAATACAACATCATTGTCACGATTAAAGTGGATGACAGGATATGAGAAATGTTGTGTGGGCCAAAAATGTTTGCTTGAATGGAAGGCAGAATATTAACAATCAGTTCATAGCCAAAAGTGCAGAACTAAAAAGCTTAATGGTTTTATGACTCCGTAAGAAAGCTTGGTCTGGAAGAACCAAGGGAATAGTCTTGTTTCTTTTAAGTGAAAGCTTCAAAGGGGCTGCTGTCTGCTTTATTTGATATGAAACAAGTGCTGTGATGGGGACGCTTCCTCTGGAGCATCCTCCTCTTTGTAGGAGTTGGGTCAGTGTCTGGAAATGTTACTAGTGAGAAGGTGTAAAGAATGGTAGTATGCAGTGATCCTGAAAACAAAATAGGACCAAAAAGTGCACTCCAGGAAACCACTCTCATAAAGAATTGCTCATAATTTTTACTGGAGATTTGTTTCAAACAGCTGTTTGCATCACTTCTCTCTCTGGTCAGGCAGAGGTCACGTTGCATACCCCAAATTCATATGGTAGACTCGATATGTAGTTGTGTGACAACTTTTTCCAATCTGCCTACCCAGAACTTTTTTGGAAAGCTCTGAATCAGATACTTTCCATGAGAACTTGAAGCTCTTTGGTTAATGCACCAGTCTTGTTTTTCCTTTCAATTTGATCCTTATCAGATTCTGCTTCTTGATAGCTGAACAAAACATGCTAAGTGAAGGTGTATACAATTTATACTAAAATTTTACTAGAATAAAGCGTAAATGGAAACAATGTTTTATCAAGTCTGAATGGGAATTTTCTAAAAACACTGATCTGCTCGTGTAATCGTTGCAGGCAGCACAGCCTGAATTGATGTGTCTACGTGTGATCTTTTTAAAGTTATTTCAAGCAAAGCCAAAACATGGGAAGGCAGCAGGTGCAAAATAATGTGTCTACTGTATCAGGAAGACCAAAAATAAGTGTGCAGGTTGGTGTAATTGATTTGAGTCTCTTACAGTTCATTTTCTTTATTTTTACAGGAAATAATGAAAAAAGTGTGCCACAACTCTTGATCAGTGACCTGAAGTTTGAGAAGAAGTCACTAGCTAAGCTCATGTTTTCTCCTGATCAAGAAAATCATCCATCAAAAGCACCGGTGAAGTATGGTGAATTGATCGTTTTGGGGTAAGTGTTTACGTTTGCTGGAAGTGAGAATGAAGGTAGAATTTCAGAGCATGCTTAAAGCAGTTATCTGCAGGTTGCTGAGAGAGGTGATGTTATCATGCTACCTCTCACTTTCATACTGTGTCTTGAACTCCTTTCATATTTTATCTAGCAAGCATTGAAATGAATCCTTTCTACTTGTTGATAGTAGCTCTGAGATGAATCCTAGAGAGTATTCCTTGCTCTGCAGTCTTTGGGTGCATGTGCTGTAGTTCTGTAGGCATGTTTCAGTACTTCAGTTACCTATTATCAGATTTAAATACGTGTAACTAATTGGAGATCGGTACCTTTTTAATATTGTACTAGTTAAGAAGACTGTGTTTAGAATGAAATTTTATGTAGGTCTGCACCTCTTGAAGTTGTACAGAAATATGGACTTCATTATTTTTCTGTCCTTTCTTTTATAGGTACAATGGGTCACTCCCAAATGGAGATAGAGGAAGAAGAAAAAGTAGATTTGCTTTATTTAAAAGGCCCAAAGCAAACGGGGTGAAACCTAGCACTGTGCATATTGCCTGTACCCCTCAAGCAGCAAAGGTAAGCTTGATTAGCCAAGTAATAGCCCCACCAGGGGGATGCAGTGCTGGACCAGTTGCTCACCAATGCAAGTGAGCTGATTGGTGACATCAGGACAGGAGCTGCCTGGACTGTAGTGACCATGCAGCGATGGAATTTACTCTCGGGATATCAGGCAGGCAAAGAGTAAAATCAGGATGCTTAATTTTAGGAAAGCCAAATTCTATTTCTTCAAGGATTTAGTTAACAAAACTCCCTGGAAATCAGTTCTCAAGGGTAAGAGAGTGAAACAGACCAGTCAGATCTTAAAGGAAGCTTTCCTGTATGCATAAGAGCTCTCTATCACTGGGTGTAGGAAGGCAGAAAAGGAAGGCAATACGCTGGCATGACTGAACTGTGACCATGATCAAACTGGAGAGCAAGAAGAAAATGCACAAGCAGTGGAGGCAGGACAGGTAACCTAGGAGGAGTATAGGGATGCTGCTAGGTTGTATGTATAGGGTTGGTGTCAGGAACCAAAGTGCAACTGGAACTGGACTTGGCAAGGGGTGCAACAAAGGATAAGAAAGGCTTCTGTAGGTATGTAATCTGGAAAAGGAAAGTTCAGGAGGGTATACCCTCTCTGATGGGCAACAGAGGCAGGCTATTAACAGTGGACAAGAAGAAAGCTGAGATATCCAACAACACTTTTGTATTGGTCAACAGGCAACAGACTCTTTAGCAGTGATAGGACAAGGGGAAATGATTTCAAACTAAAAGAGGGAAGATACAGATTAGATGTAAGGAAGTTTTTTACAGTAAGGATAGTGAGGCACTGACACGGGTTGCCCAGGGAGGTGGTGGTGTCCTGTCCCTGGAGACCTTTGAGGTCAGGCTGGGCAGGTCTCTGAGCATCTGAGCTGTAAGAGTCCCTGTTCATTGCAGGGGTGTTGGACTAGATGGCCTCTAAGGCTCCTTTCCACTTGAAAAGATTCTAGGATTTGTGTGATTAAGTCTTGTTTCTGCTGGTGCTGTCTGAAGAATTCCAAGTGAAATCCATGCTGAGATGAAATAAAAAAAGCATGAAGTTCTGACTGTGAAAAGAATGATTCATGTTTATTCAAGGATTTTTGGTACCTGTCAGGTTTAGCAAGAAGCCATTCAGTCTTTGACATACCCAGAATGAAAAATGCTTGTTTTTGAAACACAAACATTCAAGGCCCAGTCCTGTCATGTAAAACCTTTTATTTTGTTTTCCCTCCAAATTTGCTACAGACATTTGTTTCAAATTTCCTGTGTTTGCACTTGTTCATGCTTTAGGGCTAAGCTTGCTTTGTATGAAGCTGATTTTGAAATGATTCTTGATCAAAGCTCTGCTTGTACTTCCTACTCAGTCCAGTGGGTAGGAGTTCCCTGAGATGAGGTGGTTTGGCAGGGCACATTTTTTGTGGCTGGTAACCAAGTCAGAGTTCCCTTTAAGAAGCAGTGAAGAAATGGCCTAAGTCCTGAAGTTGAGTTGTACTTCATGTCAAAACTCAGGCTATTATAGGTAAGGTATTACCATGAAATACTACTTTATTGTGGTGTTTCAAGTGTATTGCAATTATGTTCAGTAAGAAGCAGATCACTTCCACTAATACAGGTGGAATTCAAGAATGAATAAACATTCTTAGTTATTTAGAGATATTCAGTATGTTCAAAATCAGGCCCTTGTACAAATTCAGTACAGTTAAATATTTGATTCTGAAAATAATTCAGTGCTTAGAAATATTGATTCCTAGTTTAATACTATGCTGATTGTTTATGGTCTTCAAGTAATAAGTGCTATCTGGAAGCACTTCACAGAAGTTTGTTTGTTCTGATAGTTTTAGTTTTGCTTATGAAGCACTGCATAAATCTCTAGAATGAAAATCTAAACTCACTGAAGCCTAGGTTACTTTGCTACAGCATGTGTAAACTGGGTAAGAATTGATAGCACTGCTTGTAACTTCTTTGTCCATGTGGCTTATTAATCATCAGTGATTTTAATATGAACTCAGATATATATATATATATATATATAGATATATAGATATTTTTTTATAATGAATTCTGTAAGTTTTTATCACTTTGCTGTTGAGAAGTTCCAGCTGAATCCAGTTTCAGCCTTTGCACTCAGTTCTGTTCTTTGTGCCAAAGCCAGCTGTGCTTTAATATTAAGCATGACTAATAATCCGTCCTGATTACATTTATTTTGTGGCAGCGTGTGGTAAAGAGACCAGTTTGGTCTGTTGCTGAATCAATCCTACAGCTTTTTTTTAATGGTGAGGACTGGTTTTTGTCAAGTCTAGCTACAGGTGTGTCACTAATGTGCATCACACTTAATGTGTTCATTGGGCAGAAAAGAGCCTGGCTATGTTGCTGCTGTATGTAGTAGATTTATTGTTCACTAGCACAGTAACTTGTCTCTTCTTTCCACAGGCAATAAGCAATAAGGACCAACACAGCATATCTTACACTTTGTCTCGGGCCCAGACAGTAGTAGTTGAATATACCCATGACAGCAACACAGATATGTTCCAGGTACGTGAATTAAGTGATACCAGCACGTATTCTCACCTGTGCTGGTTTCCAGTGAGACATTAACTCAACATGCTTTTCCTCTCAGATGTGAAACTTACTTTCGGCGCTTTATTCTTCAGAGATGTTTAATTCTGTTCATTCCCAAGGCCATCACATATATGAGGCTGTGTATCTGTGCATCTCTTTTAGGTTTACTTGGTCAGAGGCTAAATCTGTTTTTGTGACTAATGCATAGAATTATGGTTTTGCTGTTGACTGCCACTCAGTCACTTAATTTTGTGAGGAGGGATGAGACACAGCTTAAGAGTAAAGTGCACAGTTCTCTGAAGCACTTGGAACTTTGCTTCCAGCATTCATGAATGGATTTGGGATCAGCCAGTAAGAGGGTAGAAGAAATGCAATGTAAAAATACAGGAGAAACTTCTAACACAACCCCAGAAATAAGCTTCAATGGTGGGAAATGTTGAGAAAGGCCCACTTCTAGTGTACTATTAGTTTAGAATAACTTTGTAGGAGTTTCCTGTGTGTATGACATTGAACCGCAAACATGTTTGCAGCTGTGTTCACTCATATCTTATTATTTCCTGTTTTTCTCAAAAGGGTTTTGTTTCAGATTTTGTTTTGTTTCTTCTAATTCCTGGACTGATAGCGCATTGATTTTCATTGTACTTAATGTAAGGCAAGGAGTTCTGCTGTCACAGCATTTAACTGTGACGACATTGCAGAATCTAAGAAAGTAGGAGGTGTTGGTATGTGGTGAGGAAGCTGTGTGCAACTGCAAGTATCTCCAACAGCAAAAGGGCTGTAACAAACTAACTGCAGCATAAGCTGTAGTTTAAATGTTCTCTGTTCAGGCATGCTATGGCATGTATTCTGCTCTTAAATTGCCAGTGGTGATCTTTGTGTACTGTTGGGTTATCCTGTCTAAGGGGAAAAAAAAAAAAAAAGAAAAAGAAAAACATATTCTGACAAAGCAGTTTCAGTCTCATGAAAGCTCTCTAGCCTTCACCAAAAACTACCTCAGGCTCTTTGTCTGCTACCTAGCAGTTAATCAGTCTTAATATAACCAGCTATGTTTTAAGAGGCTTGAGAGCTCTGAAAGTGAGTGAAAGGTAATAACGTACAAGTGGGCTTAAAACCTGGCTATGGGGATGTTTGAGGTTGGGATATAACTCCTCTGTTTTGTAAAGAGGAAAGGACGAAAAAGCAGTCAAAAACATGCAACTGTGTCAAAATTGGTGAAAGTGTGTGATACTGCAAATGTATTTTTCTTCCGTACAACTAGAAAAGAGGGCACAACTACTCTGCAGCCTGCTGTTTCTAAGACCATCGTCTTAGAAGAAATCAGGCTGTGGTCAGATGTTGTATCCCTGTTGTGTTAATATTAATGTAGCATCACGCTGCTCCAGCCACAACCATCTTGTACCTGGTCTTTCCTGACAGATGTGCTGCTGCTTAGTACCTCACTGGAGCTGCAGTTTCAGCTCATGTAATCTCCAGACAGTTTTCTTACACCTGTACCTCCACCTAGTATGGCATTGCTCAGAATACTCTGGGCATGCAAAGTGTCTGAATACCACTTTTCCATTTGACTGCTTTGTCCCAGCTGTTCAGCTGCTGCTGCAGCTGATCCAGGTGACCTGAGTTTTAACTTCTCTGAGGAGACTTTCAATGGGAAATTATCTCAGTATTAGCTTAATTACATCTTTATTTTTTTTTTTTTTTTTCCTCCTTCAGTTGGCTGTACTCAACCTTTGGAATAACTTTGATCACATGAAGATAGAGTAAATAATTCAGATTAGGCTTCAGAAAACTAATCTCAAATTGATGGACCTAAGTGCTTCAAATTGGAATGCTATGATTTTTTAAAACCACTTCTAAATTGTTTTGGGCTTGAACATTAGTAGATCTAAAGGCAAACTTCTAAACAGCTTTTTTTTTTGTTTGTTTTATCCCTTTTTGCAGATTGGTAGATCAACAGAGAGCCCTATAGACTTTGTTGTGACAGATACGGTTCCTGGAAGTCAGAGTAATTCAGATACACAGTCTGTGCAAAGCACTATATCAAGATTTGCCTGCAGAATCATATGTGAACGTAACCCTCCTTTTACAGCAAGAATATATGCTGCAGGATTTGACTCCTCGAAGAACATCTTTCTTGGGGTAAGGGAATTCTTTTTGTTCTCCCAGATCAGTGCAGGCTTATTTTTGATCTAATTTGAGTCTCTACTTCAGCCAAATTAGAAGTTCTCATTGATGTTGTTTCTCTTAGGAGAAGGCTGCGAAGTGGAAGACTTCAGATGGGCAAATGGATGGACTAACCACAAATGGAGTTCTTGTTATGCATCCACGTAATGGATTTACAGAAGACTCCAAGCCAGGAGTATGGAGAGAGATATCTGTGTGTGGGAATGTGTTCAGCCTTCGTGAAACCAGATCAGCTCAGCAGAGGGGGAAAATGGTAAGAGCGGAGACCAGCGTTTTATGTAGCGTGTTTAAGATGGGCACAGACACAAGTGATACAGTTTGGGCCTAAATAGAAGCCAGAATCTGCCTAATTCAGTGCATTTGTCACCTGTGCAATAAGCTGCATTGACTTATATCTTCCTCTGTTCACACATGAAAGGTTCTTGCTTGGCCTGGAAAACTAAATCTGTCTCAGAAATAGTACTAAACTACAGATCGAGACTCCTCTCCCCAGATGAGTTGGCACTCTAGTGTGCCCTTCTGCAAGATGTGATAATAGTGTTCATGTTTTAAAGAGCATTTTCCTGATTCTTCCTTTCGTGTTCACTCTTTGAAGTTTCCTATGTTTCCCTTCTTGAAGAATAGAAAAGAATATTAACATATGTTCTCTGTACCTGTATATTCATTTCTTTGTTTGCATTTTTTACCTTCCTCTTTGCTTCCAAAGCACTGGTGGTGACACTTTTAGGAGGTGATTAATTTTGGTATGACTTGAGTCTCTTAGCAAAAATAAATGTGCATGAATACTTTGTTGGTGCATTTAACTAGGAATGCTGGCAGCTTATTTTTCTTGGGGAGAGCAAACTCTTGTGTAAAGGTACAGAATCACATTGTTGGAAAGGACCTACAAGATCACCTAGTCCAACTGGCCTTCCATTACCCTTGATAGCACAAGCCACTTCACCATGTGTGAATGAAGCAGTCTAAAATACAATGGAGGACTCCACGTAGTTTTTTAACGTGCACCTTAATCTCTTAAGAAGTTTTCCTTAGAAAGAGGAGGAAGTGGCACTGGGTTCTGTGGGAGTCTTGCATAGGGCACTTATTAGTTGCTTGAAACTTTATCTGGATCTTCCAGGTAAACCTGTATAATGAAAGTGCCTTGTTACTCTTCAAATAATGCTAGGTGGCACCTTTCTCTTCCTCTGTCCATCACAAGGTTGAAAATGAGACAAACCAGCTGCAGGATGGCTCTCTGATCGACCTGTGTGGAGCAACGTTGCTGTGGCGCACTGCAGAAGGGCTTTCGCGCACTCCCACCGTCAAGCACCTGGAGGCGCTGAGGCAGGAGATCAATGCGGCGAGGCCCCAGTGTCCGGTGGGCTTTAACACCTTGGCGTTTCCCAGCATGAAGAGAAAAGATGTTGTAGACGAGAAGCAGCCGTGGGTGTACCTGAACTGCGGCCACGTGCACGGCTATCACAACTGGGGAAACAAGGAGGAGAGAGACGGCAAGGATCGGGAGTGTCCCATGTGCCGCTCTGTGGGCCCTTACGTGCCTCTGTGGCTCGGATGTGAAGCGGGATTTTATGTGGATGCGGGACCTCCAACTCACGCGTTCAGCCCGTGCGGCCACGTGTGCTCAGAAAAGACAACTGCTTATTGGTCCCAAATCCCTCTTCCTCATGGTACTCACACTTTTCATGCAGCCTGTCCCTTCTGTGCGCATCAGCTGGCTGGTGAGCAAGGTTACATCAGACTCATTTTCCAAGGACCTCTTGACTAACACACGTATATCCGAGGACTGCAGTAAACTGATAAGCTAAGCGATTCTGATTTTTAAATCAACCGTTTTTCGTATTCTCTGGGCTTTGCTGGTTTGCATTAAGATGAAGAATTTTTTTTTTTTTTTTTCTGTTATGACAGCTAAATCCCTCTCTATTGAGAAAGGTCTGCAAATGGAAGAAACAGGGGTAAGAGAGAAGTCCTGCTTGTTTAGTTAACTGCTTCCTGAGGAGGTGAAGGAAGTATTGCGGAGTGAATTGAAATGCCTTTCGTTTATTGGTTTTGAATCAAATGCCCCCACAGTATTTGAAATTTGTTTCCATTCTTTTTGTATATGGAGGGTAAATAGTTCAAAGAGCAGTAGTTTACAGCCTGGATGCAAACATTGTAAAATATAACGTGTATATTAACTCTTTTCTATTTATCTTTATTATTGAAAATGCATAGAATGTGTAGAGTAGCGTGGTCATAGTGAGTTACATCCAGCAATTGGATGTGTAGAATAGTTCTGGATGGAGAAGGAGGTGAGATGGAAATGGTAGAAAAATCTTTTTTAATCTGCAGTACTGGGTTCTTAGAATAGTTAAAATACTTTTCGAACAAAGCTAATGCAATTTATGATGGCGTCAAGATGTGCTTTAACCACGTGAAAGGTAGCTAAGAAGGACTTCTTTAAAGCGTCTTTTTGGTAGGACTGTACTTAAGATCTGGTTATGAGAAAGATATTTACCAGACTCTTTGAATATGCAACTTAGTCTAGATTAAGGATTTTTCCTCCCTTCATGCTAACATGTCTTTATTTAGCATTAGTGACATTTCTGAGGGGTTTTTCCAATGTTGAACTTTAACAAACCTGAAAGATCAGGCTCATTTTGTTTCTTGCTGTTTGGGGAGGTGAAAAGTGCATGTGCCCATGCCACATGTGATGTGGGGAGCAGTTTGTGAGTGGGCCACAGTCTCTGCTCGAGAAAGGTTCTGTCAGTCACATATTCTGCCTTTTGTCTGGCTCCTTGCAGCTGTGCATGTGGGAGCCACCGGTATCGTGTGCTTGCCTATATGCTGCTCTGAGGAGCTGGGTGCAGGTACTCATCTAGGCCACACGTGGAACAAAAGAGAAGCCTGGTACCTGCTGGATGTGTGCTGCATCCTGGCGTCTTCGTGCACTTGACCCAGTTGGCAATCTGGTAGGGAAGAGCTTGCACTGGGACTGGCCTCGTAGGCTTTGCTGTGGAGAACACTGCATAAGATCTGTTCACACTGTGGTGGGCTCTAGGTCGTGGTCTCTGTGCTCTCCTTACCCTAACCTTCATTTCCATTCTGTATTCGCCAGGAAAGGCCAGTGCACTACATCCAGCTTTGCTGCTAACCCACCATGTTTAATGGCAAATACACAAAACTGACTTTTTTTTAGGCCAACCTTTTGTTGTTTTTTTTTTCATATGTACTGTATAATTGACGGTAGCAAATCTCCATACTTTATACCTTGCTTTAATTTTCCCTTTCAAAGCTGTTCTGAACTTTTTGGTTTAAAAAGAGATGTATGTTGCTTAGATGTCATGAAATATTTGCTTTCGACTGTCAATTGTTTCTTCATTTTTTAAAAAGAAATTATATATATTGTTTGGTTCACTCAGGAAATGCATGTGTCAGGAAACTTGTATTATAAGTTCAGTTAGTTGTCATGTACATGTAACTGCTGTTACTCCCTTTTCATAGAAATATAACTGATTTTGACATTTTCCAGATTTTATGCATTAAGTAATGAAACTTATGCAGCAAGAAACCCCCTGTATTGTAGTTGTTCTAATCATCTTATTCAAACTATGTTATACTGTAGTTTAATTTTTATTTGCAAATTAATTTATTCAAACTATGTGAGTAAACTCTTTTCAAAAATAGAGATTTTGGGATTATCTGTTGCTTTGCTTCCAAGAAATGGGGAGGGTGTCAGAGATGGCTTCTATTGTGTTCTGCACGTGTAGGTTAAGACTAAAAAAAACAACTGAAGAGTTTAAATGTTCGTCACGGTTTGGAAAGGCTCCCTTCAGATCTCACCTTTCAGCTTTATATTTAACCCTACATTAACAAAGGCAAGGTCGTTGTTCAAAAGGCAGGTAAATGATCTCTTACTCTGAGTGACTTGAAATTAACGAAATGCAAGCAAAAATGCCAAGCAAGTGGCTGGACTCTCGGAAAACTTCAGGAGCTCTTGATTTTATTGTCCGCAAATTGGATCGGCACATCTTCTCTGGTCATGATCTTGTTAAATGCAGGATTCAGAAAAATCAGAAAAGGAAATAACAAAAGCTATTAAAGCAGGATGAGTAATACAGAAGCAAATTATGAAAACAGATTGAGAATTGGAGTGCAAGTAACTGCACGCAGCATACTCACCCCACGTTGGTGGTACAGCATGGAGCCAGCAGTGCTGTTGCAACTGGGTATGCAACCATCTGACTGCAGAGCAGAAGAGGGGCCCAGTGCACAACCATTGCTGAACCTCTACCTTATTGAGATGATTCTTTATGCTTCTGTTACAGTTCTAGCCTCCTCCCCTTCTTAAAACAGAAATGTTACAGACTAATGTGTAGTTGCTGAGGAACTGGCTATTTCCCTGGGTAGCATTATGTTAAGATAATCTTTATTGCCCTGCACTCTGCTGCACGCTGCCTGTAGTATATTTAATCTTGTTTTTCAAATGGGCCTTCAAAAGTCTGAGACGTGGAAATCCCACTGTCAAAAGTAGGATAGCAGTGGTTAAGAAGGCTGAGGAGCAATTTCCATAAGCAGTTCAAGCTAACTGAAAGCAGTGGCTTTGACTGTAGTTCCCTATTTGAGTTCCCCCAGGCTTCTTTTCTTCAATAAACTATTTAAACAGAAGGTCTCGTACTCTATAAACTGTAAAACAGACGGGAGATTAAAAGTAAAATCATCCCTTTAACACAAACAGCTGACTAAAACTCCCTGAACTTCAAGGCCTTTGCTTCTGTACGGATGTGGGAGTTGGGAGAAGTGCAGGAGGAAGCGCCCTGCTGGCGGTGAGATGACAGCTTGCTTAGCCAAAACCAGCCCCACATGAAATCTATGGCCCACTTTCAAAGGTTTATTCAAAAGGAAGGAGGCATTTATGCAACTGGCAAATGAGATGTGACTATTCCCTGTGGGGAGATCACCACAGGTGTGTGGAACTGATGGAGGAATGCTCATGGATGTAAAGTAAACATAGGCCTTTTTCTAGCCTTAGTGTTTTGTGATCATCTGCAAAAATGCAACTGGAAATCAGCATGTAGCTTTTTGCAGTTGGTTTGTGCATCACGGCTGTGCTCTGTGCAGTTCTTTGTGTGCTGTGTAATGCAGGTTATCTAATGAGCTAATTTACTTTCAATTTCCTACAGTTGAAAAGGATTTAATACTGGTAAAAGGGAGCAGGTTGATACAGCAGCTGGCTAATGAAGCCCTTTTGTTTCCAGAGCAGAAGCAGGGCAGATCTTGGTGCATTGACTCACAGCAGAAGAATTGGAGGCTAGGATGTTGCTGGGACTTTCCCTGGGGAGGCAATGGGTAGCTGGCACCAACAGAGCACCATTCCCTGGGCTGACTCAGCCATTGGTTTCAAGCAGCACACCGGGCACATGGTGTGTATCTGAGATGTGGGCTGGGGATGAGGTTTTCTAATCCCATCTGTGCTAGGCTTTGTTACACCTGCAAAAATGAGGCCTGTCTCCAGAAGGGTTTAATGACATGATTGTGATGGCTGGCCCTGGTGTCTTCCTGCTCTGCACTGTGTGGAATCGCATATCGACCCTGCTGTAGCACGTGTTACCCCTGTCTGAACAGAGGCAACTTCCAGGTCTGATTCTAGGAGTAGTTCTGCAATGTAAAGTTACTGGGATGGCTACAATTACCTGCCTGCACACCGTATTTCAAAATGGATTAAGCCTGGCTGCTGTTGAATTAGTGGAGATTTTTTGCTCTTTGTCTCGGCTTGTGCAAGACTTGCTTCATTCTCTGAAAACACTGACAAAGCTGCTCTGCTTTTAAGTGTGGTATTTGGCTTCAACATGAGGGCTGTGATCATCCTAGAAATGCAACTTCTAAGGCTCTTCTTATGGCTGTAGGAGATCACTTATACATGCTGTCCCGCATCCTATGAAAGAGATATGGCAAAACAGGAGCTGCTTGGGCTCCTGTAACTTGTGCTGGGGCCCTTTGGCAAGCTGCTGCTGCTGAAGCCAGGCAGCACTGCACCTGTCCCTTCCCAGGTGCTGCTCCCATGGAGCAGCAACAGCTCAGGACCTTATTGACTGGCCATAAATAGTGGCAGCTTGTCATACTTCTGATGTGGTATCGCATGGAAATGTACCTTAAATCAGAGAAATACTGCCTGTGCAGTTGCACATGAAACAACCTGGAGCTTCAGCTGAGCTGGGTGCTGCTGGTTGCAAGTCTCTGCTTTCTGAAAGCAATGAGATGGCAGCTGCAGGGAGCAGAGACCCATGGCTTTGTTCCTCAAACCTAGGCTACCTCTGACAGAGCTGCCTCAGCACTGTGCCTGCAAAGCTGCCACATGAGGGGTGGCTGAGGCCATGCATTAGTGCAGCATTGGTACCAGAAATCCCTGTGTGTGAATCTTTGTGGCCCTCCCTTTGTCTCTCAGGAGCAGCTGCCCACTCTCCTTTTCCCTTTCAGCCTTGGTAGATGCAGTCCTTTTGTGGCCTCAGCAAGCAGGTGACTGCAAAGCCTGCAGCTGGCCCTGTTCATGCTGGCTTGTGTGGGATCAGCATAGGCACCAGCTCAGGCTGCATCACCTGAAGCTGAGCTGTGGGGAAGATGAGTAACCGGAGGCAAAGTGCCAGCTCTGGCAGCCAGGAGCTCCCTGCCCACTCCCTGGCTCCAAGCCGCACCTGTGAGCACAGTGCATCTTGGCCACAACAGGAGAATGGTAGCAGCATGTAGGGAAGGAATAACGGCAGAAATATCCACAAGCGAGCAGTCAGAGAAGGGCTTCAGTGCTTGGAGCAAGCTCCAGCCAGCCCGCAATTTGATTTCCAGGGGTTTCCATGTGTATGTATGGGAGGAATATGAGCAGGGCAAAGAGATGCAGAGCTGCCTGAGTCTTGTACAAACTGTGGCTCAGAGGTTTTTAGAATAAAAGGTGGCATCCTTGGATTCTTCTTCCTTTAACACAAATGCATTTCAGTTCAAAGAGGCTTCCAGTGCCCAAAAAAACATTTGGCAATGAGTCCCATGGCTCGGCTGCACATCATGAAGTTCCTTCTATTTGCTTTGAGCCTTGTCGCCTGATGACTTTGCTGAAAATCCAATTTATTGTATCACAGGAGGCAGCGAGTAACCATTTCTTCTTTACCTTTTATATGCCAGTCTTAATTTTGCTGCAAGCGTGCCCACCTATCCTTGCCTGTCCTACAGTGAATGAATGAATACCAGCACTGCAGTCACCCACATTTCTGGCCTGGCCTATTTGCCTGACTGCTGGCAAGATGCTGAGCTGTGAGCAGAAGCACCCGTAGAGCCTCCTGCCATTGCTGCTGAGGGGCCCGTGCAGCCACACAGAGGGGAAGGCAGAGGTGAGGCATCTCACAGCCTCTGTGTGGGTGTGAAAGACCTTACAGATAGAGCAGTGAGGCACTTTGCTGCTGGGAGAGGCAGCTCCTTTGTATGTGGCAACACCTGCAAGATTGCAGTGTTTTTATTTTGAATGCTTTTGCTGATATAGTGTCACTTCTGTGGAAACTAAACAGCTCTGAGATGGGAGTAAATTATTAATCTGCTCTGATTCCCTTCCTCCACCATGTCTATGTATATAACAGTTCTTCACTGAGATCACACCTGGAAAGCTGCTGCCTTCTGAAATGTGACGAGTAGAATCCTTTGGAGTTGTAGCTGGTACCACCAAGCTTTCTGTTTTCCCTCTTCCTCATGGAAAAGTCTCATTAAAAGACTTCCCCTGCAAATCGCTCTCATAGCACACAGCTCACTCCTAGGGATTCCCTGTGAGAATGCTTGCATTAAGCATGAGCAGCATGGGGAGGGTAGATAGGAAATGATAATTCACTTATTCAGACAGTAGATGAAAGTAGAGAACCAAGTTAAATCACTTGGGAAAAGCTTCCTTATATTCTTTACTAATCATTCCCAGGATCATCTTCTCTGCTTTTATTTACAGCTCATTGTCCTTATCCTTTCATTTGTTTCTGCTTCAACAGCAAAAATGTTCAACATTTTTCGGTAGCTGTTTTTTCGGATGGTTTCTCAGTTACTGTGATAATGACTTCTGTTTAAAGTGTTTCTATTGAAATATGTGATTATTTTTCTTTATGCACCAAACCATGATGCCCAGGCTTGGGTTCTGCAAAATGTTTTTGGTTTTTGGTTTTTGTTTGTTTGTTTGTTTACTTTTTCTCTCTATTCTTCAGTCTAGATAGGGTTTCCCTTCAGTCTCTCCTGGATTAATGCTGAAAATACGAGCTGGCAAAGAATGAGGTAAGTGCAGTTGCTTCCCTGTGCTGCGGGGACACAGCCGTCTGAGGGACATCTTGTTGGTAGCCTCTGCTTCATCCAGGGCTGAGGGGTTTGCTGCTTTCCCTGGGTAATGCTCAGATCTCACCAAGTCTGTCCCAGCACCTCCCACATCGCAGTCTTCTGACACTTGCAAAAATAGCTCTTTGTATGACTACCTCACAACTGGGATCCACCTGTGCTATTCCATTTGCTTGGCTGCAACTGAGGAGCTGAATGTACATGAAGCATGTAGTTCTTGCGTTCTCTCATCTCTCCAGAATAATATTTTTAGCTGATCCCAGAAGATTTGAAACAAAACAAATGCATGCAGCAATATTATAAACTTGCCTAGATGCAAAGCTAAAAACTGCAGCTTGC